TCATTGATTGTATTCTTATTTTTCAAGAAATGTTTCCAATGCTTCTATTACATTGTACACGGTTTGTATGATATTAAGTCAAATCCAGTGTAGTAAGCCGAATATTCAAGTCATATAAGATGAGAAATGTGTTTTATTTCTTAATATAATAAAACATAATTTATGAAATGGACAGATGCATGTATTCAGTATTCAATAAAGATATATCTGTTGCATGAATGTAGTCTGTGGTTGTATGCCCTACAGTTCCTTGGTTCTGGAACCATCTACATCAGGATCATCCAGGCTGCTTGTTGTAAAATGCAGATTTCTCAATTCCCTGTTGACTTGGAACTTCTGAGTTTGTGGCCCCAAAGTCTGCATTTTAAAACAAGCACCCCAGATGATTCCTCAGAACACTAAAATTTTGTTCAATTAAACTTTTAAAATATGTATTAGATTTTTGAATAAGTAAGCTTTTATGGTTCAAAATGGATAGCATAAAAAGGTATTCAGTGACAAGTTATCAATTCGGCCTTTTAGGCATATATTAATATTTACCTTACTTATCATTCTAAATAGAACTGTCAAACAATTTTCATTTGTAGTACACAGAGTCGATCATCAACAATAAAAATGCATTCCTATGCCAGCAATAATTTTCTAACTGGACATGGACTCCCTTCTACCATGCTCTGGGCTGGTGATCATCTTGGGAAGGTTAATAAGGTGCAAGCATCTGAATAGAGGTCAGTGTCTGTAAGAGAGGGCTGTCGATTTTGCAAATCCAAACTGTAGGAAAGCACCCTAATTAGCAGCATCAGCTAATGTTGACATAATTCACCACTATTAAAAAAATTATGTCTCCTCCAGACATGAATAAAAGTAACCACAGCTCCCCAACCTAAAACCACAGACAGGTGAGCCTTCTAAGAGCTCTTTAATGTACATGAATCACTGTGGGTGTCAAACCTCTAAGGTCTTAGTCTGTTAAGGCTACTATTAACAAAAATACCATGACTGGGTAGCTTATTTCTCATAGTTGTGGTTGCTGGGAAGTCCTAGACCAAGGTACAGGTAGATCCAGTGTCTGGTAAGAGCCCACTTCCTGGTTCAGAGATAGTGCCTTCTTACTGTGTCTTACACAGCGGAAAGGGCAAGGAAGCTTTATCGGGCTGCTTTTATAAGGACACTAATCCCATTCATGAGGACCCCACCCTCATGAACTAATAACCTCCCCAAAGCCCTACCTCCTATACCATCACCTTGGGGGCTAGGGTTTCTACATATGAGTATGTGTGCGGGGGTGAGGGGACTACAAACATTCAGTCCACAGCATAAGGGTTCATTTTAATTAGGGCATATACTGGTAAAAGACATGCAGAGATAAAAGTCAACTTTCTCATGCACAGTCCCCAAAATGGCTTATTTAAAACTACTCCCACATTATTCCACTCATCCCAGCCTTGTTTTTCTTAATTAATTTTTCTTCTCTGTACTCTAAAATGTATCTCAGGCAGTAAGAATAAAAACTGGGTACTAGCTACTGGGTTGGAATACACAGCCAAAGCAATATAAATACCAATATAAATAAGGAATATGAATAAAGAAAAAAATAGATAATATTTGGTGATCACATGATCACCTACATATGAAATTTCAGATCACCTGAAAAGATAGGGGCTCACAAAATCATGGGTCTCCACCCCTGCCTTGTAGAAAGTCAATCTATTAGAACCAAAGTTACATAAGACGCTAAGTCTGGTTGGTTAAGAGAAGGAAGAGATCAGCTAGCTTTTCCTCTGGCAGCCCACTATCTGTCTTGGGCCTCTTGCTTTGAAATACAGCTTCCTCATCTCTCATAAACCTATAACAAGGAAGCATTTTCTACAAAGTTTACAGTGGGAAAACTGCTCAACAGTTTGAAGGGATATGGAATTTCCCTGGAAGCCTTTAATGAAAGAGACAAGAGTGAAAATGAGGACCCTCATGTAGGAGGAATGGAAAGACCAACAGTCCAGAATGTAGACAACCTTCAGAGACCAGCCTGTGGCTTGTCCAGGACCTAAAGAGTTCCAGGCAGGCTTATGAGGCTGAGCATCCTCTTAATTATTCTTCAGAGTCCTTAGGAACAGAAAGTGCCTAAGGAAGGCAACCCCAGTTCAGTAAAAGGGAGGAATGTGAGTCTCTAATAGACTTCAGGGTGAGGACCCTGATGAGAAATGGGGGAAAGATCCAGCCATAACAATGAGATCCTATAGAGTCCTGCCCCAGCTGTCCACCAGTGGAGATCTGGAACAATTGTGGCTGGATCTGGTTCACACTGATTTTTCATTCTGTAGTGCCAAGGCATGAAGGCCTTGACCTGAGGGGTGCAGCCTGAGGTCCTCCGAGAGTGGAGACATGGAACTAGTTAGGTGTCCAGGTGAATTTTTAAGGAGGAATGAGGGAATTATCCACACTCAAACAGAGGAGGTGCCACAAAATTCCACCCCCTCCTCATGACCTGGGAAGTCCAGGCAGATTTAGTTGTCAGGTTGGGAAGTCCCCTCATTTTCACTGGTAGGGTTTCAGAAAGAGGAAAGCCTTGATCTAGTGGGAGTGGGCCCCAATTCTTCAGAGTGAGGAGAACCAGTTATGTGAAGGAATCCCACCAGCAGAGAGGGTCACATATTCTTTGTGCTCTGTGCTTAGACTAAGCCAAACAGAGCACTCAGTTTAGGGGCTCCTCATTTCTGCCTGGAGGATTTTAGTAGTAGAAGGCCTTGATAGAAAGAGACCAGCCCAGTTAAGCAGAGGATGAATTTGGGCCCTAGCTGGAGATCAGGTGAGGACTCTTAATACTAAAGGGAAGATCTCTTTTGCAAAAGACATGGCTCAGAGCCCCGTCCCTGCCGTCAGGAATGGGAGGCCAAGGCATGGGTAGTCAGGCATGATAAGCCCTGACTTTCTCTTCCAGGGACTGGGAAAGGGTGTGAGACTGGTGAACTCAAGTCAATGGAGAGAGGACTCCTAGACTCGGATTATAATCTTTGAGATGTCATAGAACTGCCCTTGCTGACAGCCCTTTGAGATCCCTAGCAGCCTTGACCGGATGTGGCTCACTAACTTCCGCTTTGGAAGTTTCGGGAAGCCCAGAAACTTCGTCTGAGAGATATAACCTATGGTCTGTGGAGAGTGGAATTCAAGGAGTGGTCAGGTATCACGATAAGGACCCTGAATGTGAACTGAAGGTGACCATCCTGACCATCACCAAGGGAGCCCCACAAAGTCCTGCCCTACCGTTAGCAGTGGGAGGCCCCAGTGCAATTATTCACCTAACTTGTGGGTGGACAGCACGGGAGGGGAGGGCTTTAGTGTGCCTGGGGCGGCCACAGTCCTGTTGAAGGAGGAAATCTGGGCCCTAACTGGAGTCCTGGTGAGACCCTGAGTGCTAAAGAGGGGACCTCTCCTCCAAAAGAAGGGGAGACCAGGACTGGGAGCACTAGGCAGAGATCGCCTGATGATGCAGTGTTCCCATACTTCCTCTCTAGTGACTAAAGAAACTGAGTTCCGGTTTGAGGCTGACTAACCCAGATCAATAGAGGGAGGGGTCCCAGGCTTTGATACATGCCAGTGTGGTCCCAAACAGTCCCGACCCTGATGTTAGACCTTGCAGACCCCGTACAACCTCTGTCCGCAGTTAGTCCTTGGAGGTCTGGTACAGTCTTAGCCAGATGTGGCTCGCCCTTTGTCACCCAGAAGGTGAGGATGTTGGTCTGCGGTCACAAACTCCAGTCAGTGGACGGTGGACTTCTAGGACTAGTCAGATATGAAGGTGCAGACTCCAAATATAGACTGATGAATAACCACCCAGTCCTCCCTCCCCCCACCGCGTTTCACCTCTGGGAGGTCCCAGGAAAGCTGTGGGGCTGACTTCTGCTTGTAATTTTCCAGCCTGAGGTACACTCTGACACCTCCAAAGAGTCCTCAGGAGACAAGCTGGTCAGGAGAACAAGAACCCTGTGGGGTCCTACAAGAGTGTTTTACAGGACACCTACAGAAGGGCATTTTTTTTTCTCTCTTTTTTAAAGTGGCCTTTTGGCTCTGGCCAGTTTGGCTCAGCAGTTAGAGCCTTGGCCAGTGGGAATGGAGAGTCCGGAGTTCCATTCCCGCTAAGGAGACGTACTTCGGTTGCAGTTTTTCCCGTCTTGGGGTCGTGTGGGTGGCAGCCAGTCGATGTGTCACTCTCACATGCATGTTTCTGTCTCTGGAGATAAATGCAAAATATTTCCTCGTGTGAGGATTGAATGAATGAATAAATAAATAAATAAATAAATAAATAAATAAATAAAGTAGTCTTTTGTTGTTTTCATATTTAACTTTATGCAAATTATACACAACAACTAGATAATTCTCTGTTGCTCTTTTCAGTTCTTACATGACTCCATCATTTGCCCAGTTTTCTCAAATGTCATCTTGGATTCCCCTCTCTCATAATGATCTCAAAGTCCTACCCCCTAGGAGAAATACCACTGCCACTCCTCTTTGCTGGTCAACAATTGTCCATTGCCCGGATTACAATGACAGTCACCTGATTCATTTTTCTAATTCCCCTATCTTTATAAAATCTCCTGCTCAAAACTTTCTTCTTGTACTCAAGTACCCTTAGAGCAAAATCAAAATTTCTTAATATAATTTACAAAAAAAGAACCCTGTGGTTTGGCCCCCACTGACCTCTCCAGTTTCATGTCTCTTCCTTCCCTTCCTGCCTCACTCACTATGTTCCAGCTTGAGAGAGCTTTCAGTTCTGTCCTTACTAGACCTTTCCACAGGCTGTGCCAGAGAGGCATTCTTTGTTTTTAATATGTTTTTATTGATTTTTTTAGAGAGAGAGGAAGGGAGAGAGAAAGAGAGAAACATCAGTGTCAGAGAGAAACTTCGATCGGCTGCTTCCTGCACGTCCCCTGCTGGGGGATTGAGCTCATAATTGAAGCATACGCCCTGACCAGGAATCTAACCGGGACACCTCAGTCTATTGGATGCCGCTCAATCCACCAAACCATGCCTGCCGGGCCAGAGAGGCATTCTTAAAGCCACAGTGGCATCTTGCTATGGAAGGTACTCACACCCTCTTATTCTCCTCCTCTACGTGATTGTGTCATGTGCCTTCCTGTCACACTCCTGCCTACTGTTCCTAACCACAGTTCTGTCTCGTGGTAAGAAGAGTAAGCTCTGTGCCCATGAGAAACGCCGCCAGGCCCAAGGTGAAAGCCAGGGTCTCAAGAGTGCTCAGGCCACTGCAGTAGGGGAAGAAGAGTCTCCCTCATCCCTGTCACTTGTGTCTGAGGGTACTCTCCCCAGCTCCCCTGCTGCAGGCACTCCCCAGAAGTATCACAAAGCCCCAACTTCCAGTTCTGCTGTAACCATTTCCTGTGCGAGTTCTGGGGAAGGTGCCAAGAGCCAAAGGGAAAAAATTCCAAGTTCCTTCTTGGCCCTGCCCTCCTCAGAGAGCTCTAGCAAAGATCCTCTGGCCAGCAAAGTAAGCATGTTAGTGCAAGTTCTGGTGCACAAGTATAAAATGAAAGAGCCCATTACAAAGGAAGAAATGCTGAAGATTATCAACAAGAAGTACAAGGTGTACTTTTCTTAAATCCTTCAGAGAGCCACTGAGCTCATGGAGCTGGCCTTTGGCCTTGACCTGAAGGAAGTCTACCCCAGTCATCACTGTTATATCCTTATCAGCAAAATGGATCTTCCCAGTGAAGAGAGTCCGAGTGATGATAGCATGTATTTTCCCAAGAATGGAATCCTGATGCCTCTCCTGGACGTGATCTTTTTCAAAGGCAACCGTGCCACTGAGGAAGAGACATGGGACTTCCTGAATACGATGGGGCTTTATGCTGGCAGGAGCCATTTCATCTTCGGGAAGCCCAGGAAGTTCATCACCACAGATTTGGTGAAGGAAAAGTTCCTGGAGTACTGCCAGGTGTCCAACAGTGATCCTCCATGCTGTGAATTCCTATGGGGTCCAAAAGCCCATGCTGAAACCAGCAAGATGAAAGTCTTGGAGTTTGGGGCCAAAATCAATAATACAGTCCCCAGTGCCTTCCCAACCCAGTTTGAGGAGACTTTGAGAGATGAGGAAGAATGAGCCCAAACCAGAGCTGCAGCCAGAGCCCACTTCAGAGCCATGACAAGCAGCTCCTCCCAGCATTGGTAAAGTCTGAGGCAGAGTATTTACCTTGAAGTTAAAATGACCTAGCAACCTTCTAAGCAGTGAGAGGCAAGGTGGGGCTTGAGAAAGCATAATGTATCTTTTCTTTGTGTTCTGTTTTCATAATTTACAGATTTACCTTTTTTTTCTTATTTTTTCAATGTGTTCCTTTAAAGAAAGCTTATTTAGATTCAGAATCTAAGTTTATGAATAATATGACTCACACATTTATTGCTGTTTGTCAAGTTTGAGAGTAATAGTTTTGTATTTTGTAAAAAAAAAAAAAAAATTTAAAATCCTTGCATCTTTTATTGTAGTCCAGTACCAGAACACAGAGCATTGGATAGGAATTTTCTTTAAAATGGACAAGAAACCCACAGTAAAATAGTTGGGATAATGAGATGGTGAAAAATAAAAGTAAAAGGTAGTTAATTCTTCACTTTCTTCATTTCTTTTACTCTTTCTTTGGTGAAATTAAAAGATATGTACCCGGATTTGCTTAACTTATTCAAGAATGTGGGATAAATTAAATCGTCATAAATTAGAACTCTTGTGCACTCTTTTGTTCCCCAAACATGAATTGAGTTACTGCTCTTTGGAAGGCGTCGTGCTAGTTCTGGGGACCTGTAGACAAAGAAAATGAAGCCCCTGCCAATAACATTTTAGAGCCCAGGGGAAGCTGTCATATAAAGAACATGATGAGATCCACACTCAACCCTGAAGGACAATAAGCAGAAGGGATAAGGAGGGAGGAGGTTCCAGATGAGCAGTCCAGCGTAAACGCCCCAATACAAGGCAGGTTGGGAAGGCAGTAAACTGCCAGTCCTTCATGGGGGGAATTTTAAGTTTGGATGCACCGGAGGGTAGATGAGGTTGTTAAAATGGTGAGCAGGGACCAGGCTCTCAGATCTTTCCGATGGTGGGCCTCAGAGTTGAGAGACTATGCTTATAATGGAAAACTTCTTCACAGTTCCTCAGGGATGTGGTGAACCCAAGAGAAATCCCCACACACCTGGGACAGGATTGGAAGGATTTCTGTGCTCTGTTCCCATGCAGAACAGAGTGCATAAACTGTGTGTTCTGTGCACTCTGTGTCCACAGTTTCTGAGAATAAGGGTGATATTCAGCAGCTACTGGGCTGGCCCACTTTGTCTGGGCCTAGGGGTGGGGGAGACCTAGACTGTTCCATTAAAAGGGAACCCAAGTATGGCATTCTTCTGTGTGATATGGCAAACTCTAAGTGAGGTCTAGATCTTTGGTTGTAGTGGAACAGATGAAAATGGGGATGGGTTAAATGCTATGGGGAAGGAAGGTTGTTGGTCTTTTGCATATCTTTAGTAGCTTCACAGTGCATCTAACTGGGGAAGTCTACCTCATGCCCACATCAAATGACTGACCATAATGGGGAAATAGTACTTAGTTTTATTTACTAAGCAGCATTTTGGCTGATTTGGGATTTTTGTTTTGTTGGTTTTTCGTCTTAGAACATTGCATATTCTCTAACCTGTCCTCGACTAGAAGAAAAAAAAATTCCAGTGTGGTACATGGTATCGTTTAAGGTAAAAATAATTGTGGTAATAACTGACACTTTAAAAAAATCTTAATACCTGCCAGGCACTGTGCTGGGTTCACAATATGCATTCCATACATCCACCAGTCCTAGAACACAGGGCCTAGCAAACTTGCTGTACCCGTGAAGAACTTGAGGCTTGTGGACTCTGCTAATGTGCCTGAGTTCACATGGCTGGTAAGTGGCAGAGCCAGTACTAAACCCGTGGTGTATATTTGTTTACAGCCCACACTACCACACTCCTTCCAGTCTGTTGCAAATGATATATGTCATAATTCATATGTCCTTTCACTATTTGGGATGTTTCTCAGGCAATAAAAAGAAGATTCTATGTACTAACTACTTGTTTGGAATACACAGCCAGAACAATAAAAATTTCAAAATAAATGGATGGTATAAAGAAAGAAAGAGAAAATTATTCTGTGACAATACGATCACCTACATGTGCAAAGTCAGGTCACCTGTAAAGATGGAGCTCACAAAATCATGGGTCTCCACCCCTGCCTTGTAGAAAGTCAATCTATTAGAACCGAAGTTACATAAGAGGCAAAGTGTGGTTGGTGAAAAGAACAAAGAGATCAGCTAGCTTCTTCTCTGGCAGTCCACCACCTGTCCTTGGCCTCTTGCTTTGAACTACAGTTTCCCCATCTGACATTACTCCTATGACACTGATCCTATCTGCAAGATTTGCAGTAGGAAAACTTCTTGAGTTTGCATGAATATAACATTTCCCAAGAAAACTTTAATGTAGGCAGGAGCTAAAATGTGGGTCTCTATGTAGCAGAACTGGTGAAATCAACACCCTAGAATATAGATGGTCTCATAGAGACTAACCCACAGCTGCCCTCAGACCTATAGTGCCCCAGGCAGGGCTGATCATCCACTTGTTCTTCATGGTTCTCAGGAACAGAGCCTTGTTCTAAGGAGGATGACCTCAGGTCGGTAGAGGGAGGAGTGTGAACCTCTGATAAACTTCAAAGGGAGGACCCAGAATGAGGAATGGAAGTAGGACCCAACCAGAACAATGGGGTCCTATAGAGTTCTGTCCTGGTTGTCTGCTCTTGTAGGTTTGGAACAGTTGTGGATGGATCTGTCTCACACTGACTTCCAACTTGGTGGTCCCAGGAAGGTGAGGACCTTGATCTGAGGGGAGCAGGCTCAGGTCAGCTGAGGGTGGCATCCCAAGATTGGACCTGACACTAAAGTACTCAGGTGTCAAGGTAAGGATAGTGAATGAGGAGTGAGGAAACCACTCACTCCAGAACATAGTAGGACCCACAAGTCTCCACACATACCCTCACACCTGCTGGCAACTCAGTCAAGGAATACCCTCACTTCCACCTGGCACATCACAGGGAGAGGAGGGCTTTGATCAAGTTGGGGTGGCCCCAGTTCTGCAGATTTGGAGACCCAGGAACTAAAAGGAGTCAAGGTTAGGACTCTGACTGACAAGAGGGGACCCCTCAACAGCAGAGAGGTTCACACAGAGCCTCAAGTGTTCTTACCCCTGTAATGCCCCAGGCGAACCTCTCAGCCCAGGAGCCATTCATTTTTGCCTAGAGAGTCACAGAGACAGTGGGCCTTGGTGTAAGGGGTGCCCCAGTCTCGAAGAAGGATAAGTTTTGCCCTAATTGGTATTCAGGTGAGGACTCTGGGTACTAAAGAGGGGAACTTTCTGAAAAGAGGGAGCCTGAGACTGAGGTAGCCATCCCAGGACACTGGGAGGTGAGAACCCTATTGTGAGGCTGATGAACCCAGATCTGTAGAGGGAGGAGTCCCAGGTTTTGATCCATATCAGTGGGGTCCCAAACAGTCCTTTCCCTGCTGTCAGCCCTCAGAGGCCCCTGTAGCCCTCAGAGGCCCCTACAGCCCTGGACACTCACCTTGACTTTCTCTTCGGGAAATCCAGAAGGTAGGAACTTGATCTGAGGGGCAAGAATTCAGAAAGTGGAGGTTGGAGTTCCAGGACTGGTCAGGTATCTAGGTGGGAGACCCTGAATGTGGACTGAAGAGATCACTCTACCTATCACCAAGGGGACTACCCAATGCCATACCCTGTCTCAGCCCTGGGAGGGTACACAAAACTGTGGCCTGATTAGTTCCCAGATGATCTCAGGGAGGGGAGGGTCTTGGTCTAAGGGGGTGGTCCCAATTCTGCCAAGAGAGGAGACCTGGTCCTAATTGGAATCCAGGTAAAGAACTGAGTGCTAACCAGGGGACTTGTCTCCAAAAGAGGGGCCATCCAGAGCTCAACCCCTGATGTCAGTCCCAGGAGCCCCAAGCAGGGGTAGCCAGATGTGGTGTAGCCCTCTTCAGAGGCCAGTGGACACAGGTCAGCAGGCCCAGGACAGAGAGAGTCCCCTCTGAGCTGTCAGCCCTGGATGGCTTCAGGCAGGGGTGGTGGAGTGAGGTGGCCCTTCTCTTTCTCTTATGGGATCCCAGGGAGGTAAAGGCCAGATTTTAGATGTCAACTTCAGCACAGCAGAGGGGAGGGGCCCAAGCCCTGCCAACAGTTGATATGATAGTGCTGACTATAAACTGAGAGGCTCCCACCTCAGAAGAGAGGATTCCCACTACCTGCCCCTGCTATCACTCCAGGCAGCCCCAAGCAAGGCTAACAGGCTGCAGCATAAGGCCCACTGAACTACTTCCACAGGGTGTTCAGGAAACAGGTTGACCCTGTGTGGTCCTAGAGCACTGCCCTGGTGAAGAGACTCACATCTTCTTGTCCTCCTCCAGGTGCCCGCACCATGTGCCCTCCTGCCACACTCCTGCTTGCTCTCCCTAACCACAGTCATCATGTCTCACAGTAAAAACAGTAAGCTCCACAGCTGTGAAAAATGATGCCAGATTCAAGGTGAGGACCGGGGTCTTGTGGTGCTAAGGCCACTGCAGCGGGAGAAGAAGAGTCCTGTCCTCATCGTCTTCTTCTTTTGGGCCCATTCCCTAGAGCAAGCATGATACCAGGTTACATAACACTCTCCAGGGGCCTCAGAGAACACCACCACCTACTTTCTGTATGTGTTTCATGCACAGGATCTTAAGAAGTTGCTAAGAGCAAAGACGAGGAAGGGACAAGTTCCTCCAAGGCTGATGTGAATATTTGTATGTCAGTACAATAGAGTAAAGTTCCCTTAAGTCAGCTTTTTGGGGCCAGGTAAAGTAGAGACACTATGAAATTTCTTTTCTTTTCCAACGAAATACTCATCACATCACTCTTTCAATCAACCCAATATGCACATGAAAAAATAAAAGTGGCAAAGAGAAGTGAGTTTAATTAGCATACCCAAATATTCAAGAATGGGCAGATGGGAACTGAGAAATAAGATTGGGAGAACAGAGGAGGAAGAATTTGTAGAAGAGCAAAGTTGTGAGCATGAATTTTGAAGGGTAGGCAGCCCTGTGAGCTGGGCTTAAAGAAGGAGAGAGAAGGCCC